AGAGAGAGAGAGAGAGAGAGAGAGAGAGAGAGAGAGAGAGAGAGAGAGAGAAAGAGAACTTTTGAGTGTTTACCTTGACTTAAAAGAGCGCAACTTGAACTACAGTATAATCGGTTGATATTAATCATAAGATTGTATAGGTCGTGTACAAGTCAAAGTATCAATTTGTCTGTGATTTTACCTTGTTCAAAAAAATTAACAGACTTAATCAAGGATTACTTTCTTTCTTTTATTTTTTCCAAGACACGGCTCAAAATGGGTTATCTAATTTGATTCCTCTATCTTGATGCACACGTGTGAAATATGGGGGGTAGGGGGGGGGTCGTCTTTAAATTATATCAATTATTTGCACATGTACTTATCTAACAACATGAACTGTACATGTAAATGTGAACTTGTACATATACCTTTGATGAGTGTTATTTTCCTGTAACAAATGGGAATAGTTTCTTTGATACCATTATGCAATAACAGCATTGCTGCCTGCGTCACGTCGTTCTGTGCAATGGCGTCAATGCAATGTTACCTTACAAATATATTCTCCTCACTGGCTTTGCCAATAGATGTGAACACGTTCCAAATATTTCTGTCGGGGCAAAAAAAAACAAAAAAACCCAACGAAAAAACCCAACAAAAACATCTGACACGAAGAGCTTGATTTTAATTACGTTTCGGAGCGTATGTGGTCAAGATTTGAGTCTCTGATTAAAGATATATCATATATGCGGTTTTCAGCTTCAATTAAGATTCTGCCATACGATTTAAAATGGCATCGCTCGAAACGATATTGATTTCTATTGATCTATTTATCTTCTTTTTATCTTCTTTTTTTTTTTTTATGAAGGAGAGGGACATTTCCACATATTCCTCTAGCTCTATCCATCTAGAATCTCTCTGTTTATGGGTCAGTCCGGCGGTTCTGTTTATGGGTCAGTCCGGCGGTTCTGTTTATGGGTCAGTCTGGCGGTTCTGTTTATGGGTCAGTCCAGCGATAGGTAAAGAAGAGAAACAGTCATGAGTGTTTCAGCACAAGTGACCATTGTCGGCCCCACCAGTATTAAACAGTATTAATATACTAGATCTATATTAAATACTATCATCATAATACACTTCAATTAGATTCTATAAGTTATTTTTTCCCCTTTGTATCCCCCCCCCCCTTTTTTTTTACATCTTAAAACCAAATTGTCCGAGCCGAACAAGGGCTTGGAAATCCCCACAAATGAGTTCCTTACATTGTGGCTTGTTCTTACGTTTGTCATTCTCATCGTTACCACAAATGGGGGTGCCACGGTTTTCTTTATTCCTGTTCGTGATCATAGTTAAGTAATTTATTCTACTTATTTCCATTCCTTTTCCCCATGTAGCTTTTTCATTTAATTGTTAGTTCTCTGAAGCCGCTAATTCCTCAGCCTTGCCAAGACAAAATAAATGATGATGAAATTACATATTGTGTATACAAAGACTTCTCAGAGTTCAGATCGTGTGGGTTCAAAACTCGCCTGGTGTGTTGACACATTCGTGTAGCCATTGCAGAGGGTGTCATTTGCCGCAATAATGCGACAAAGAAAATTGTCCATTCTCATTCAGATCACATGGCGTAGTTCTGCCCCGGGCCTGAGCATCACGTCCATTGCAGTCACAGTCACTCTCCTGGCTGGGTGACCAGATTGGGTATTTTGTAATCCTGGCTGGGTGACCAGATGTGGTATTGTGTACTGCTGGCTGGGTGACCAGATGGGGTATTGTGTATTCCTGGCTGGGTGACCAGATGGGGTATTGTGTATTCCTGGCTGGGTGACCAGATGGGGTATTGTGTATTCCTGGCTGGGTGACCAGATGTGGTACGTGGTATTGTGTACTGCTGGCTGGGTGACCAGATGTGGTATTGTGTACTGCTGGCTGGGTGACCAGATAGGGTATTGTGTACTGGGTGACCAGATGAGGTACTGTATACTGCTGGCTTTGTGGCTGTTAAAAAAAGGGCTGAGGTCTTCAACATTTACTGTTCTTTACTGCAGTGGCTACGTCATCGCTTGTACCATTATTGGTATTGTTATTACTTCATCTATATGAAATGTTATGAAGGAAGTGTGAGCCCTGTTCCTCCTGCTACACTTCTGGGCTACTGTAGGCTACATGTACATGTCTGGCCCCGTTGTTTTATGCAAGAAAAATTCTGAAATTATGCAAAATGAGCCAAAAAATGGGAAATTATCCGATTCTGTTAATTTTAACAAAGAGCGATAAAGGAAATTAATCAGAAATTATGCCCCCCAAAAAAATCAAATTTTGCTAAATTATGCGGGGTGCATAAAACCACGGGGACAGTACTGGTAGAAAATGATCTTTGACTGTAGGCCTACTGTACACATCTGCATTGTTGTCACCTCCTGCTCCTCCTGTCTTTCTCTCAATCTTGTCAGTATATGTATACATGTATCATGTATTGTTTCTCCAACTTGGATGAGATCATGACGTGTTGTTTCCACCTCGGGGTTTTCTTTGATGCCGCTGTTACTTTGATGAAATCATGTTGGAAGAAATACTTATATATTCATAAAAATACATTTGTCTCACTGTTTGTTCTTGTTATTTTTTACATTCTGAACGTGTTTTTTTTCACCTCGAGATTTTCTTCGATGACGCAGTTACCTTGATCAACTCATGTTGGAATAAATACTTATGTCCATAAAGCTTTAATTAATTAATTTTTTTAAAACCCAAAATGCGTTTGTATTGTTTGAGCTAAGAATGTGGTTCTTCTGTTTGAATTTGAGATTCATTTTGTTTTTAGGTTTGAGAAAAAGAAAGAAAAATACGATCTTTACATAATAAACTAGCTGGCTGGGCCCCCTCTCGATGAAAAGAATGATTGAGATTGCTGCATTAATTAACATCAACTGAGACTTAAGTCATTGACCTACTATAGTTACACTCTACTTGAAGGGAGCAAAAAATCTTGAGAGATGCACACACACACACACACACACACACACCTGTCCCCGTCGTTTTATGAAAGAGAAATTCTGAAATTATGCGATTCTGTTAATTTTAACAAAGAATGACAAAGGAATATAATCAGAAATTATGCAAAAAAAGATCAAATTTTGCTTAATTATGCGGGGTGCATAAAACCACGGGGAAAGACACACACACACACAATTCATGGGGTTTTAGAGGGTGCCACTTGTAAGTACTGCTTCTTCTCTTTCTCTCTCATTTGTCCGTCATGCCTTTTCCCAGGCACTAAATGATAACTATCATAATCATACTTCTTTTTGAAAAAGAAAATTCAGCAAGATTTTTACGGCATTTGCAACACAATGAGGTCACATAAGAACCAAATTATACATGTGATAAGAAGAGGCCATAAAAAGAGAAGAAGGAGGAGAGATAAGGACCACATATGTTCCGACAGGAAAGATGGAGCAAATCACACCAGTGCACCCGTCAACCACCCACTCAAAATCAAAAACACATTCATTCAACACATCTTAGCTTCACAGAGCAAAAGAACAAAACCAAACTCCAAAATTTTTTTTTTTTTTTTTTTAAATTCTTAAAAACGCGATGATTAAGTATATATACGTCGATGAAGTAAATTAATATTGCATAAATTCACAGCATCGTTAACGTTGGGAATGTACAATGAAAGAAATGTATGTAAAAATGTACAGCAGGTATTTGCCCTTCAAGTAACAAGTGTACCAAAAACAAAACAAGAACCCACACACAGGAGGATAGCGCTGCCGTAAGCTCACAAAAAACAGCCTTTTAAAAAAAAATTTTGCCGCCAAAATTTTTTATTTGCTAAAAACCTGATCAGTTACCTTACTTGTGTGGAAAAAAAAATCAAACTGAAACTGTCACTAGTTCTTGAATAAATTAGAATTCAAATTTCGGAATGACTTTATTTTTAACTGATTACGCTGGAAAAAAACCAACTCATCTCTTTTTTTTCGAACTGCTCAGAAGAAGAAAAAAGGCGTTTAATCAGCTTACGGCAGACCAGGGAATGTGCTAGTGTAAAAGACGGTGCGGCTATGTTTGATTCCGAGTGTATATATATAAATAGAATATCTTAAATACATTCTTCTCTCTTTTTGGGGGGGATACAACAAAGAGGCACCAGGTTGCAAGCATGCTCGAAGTAGATGAAATGGCTGTAGGTTACTAAGGCACCTGATGATCTGATCAATAGGATTCAATTTGGCGGCTGAGAATAGACACGTTCAAAACAGCAGAAGAAAAAATATAAATACATTGCCCCCCCCCCCCCAACACATTGTTACAAACTGCAATATGAGAAGGGCATCAACGGTGAAATCATGATCATGGTCATTTCATCTACATCGCTAAAAAAAAAGTGGACATTATTATAAATTAAATGTAAATTTCAAAGATCACGACATAAGAGACCTCCTCTTCGCTGCATCTCCCATCGAGACCACTGACAAAACTTTCAAAGTCAAAGCTTTCAAAAATATCAATCACCGTCAAGATCACAGGAGGAGTAGATCTGATCGATTCATTGTAAACATATCGCGACCTCAGTGCTTTCTTGTCGCATGATCTTCATTTTTTTTTTTAAACATTGAAAATGTGACTTCTTCGTGCGCTCGCTCTTTGTTATGAACTGTTTCCACTGTTGAAAAAATTGGATATACGACAAGAAAGCACTGAGGTCGCGGTATTTTACACCCCACTCAACACAATTTACATCATTTAGAAGGCGGGCCGCTTCAATCCTGCAGGCCAGGGCCGCCCACCTGGGGCCAGTGGGAGACGAGGAGCACCGAGCGACACAGACGCAGGTGCTCGAGAAAATTACTTCCTCACACGAGAATTGAACTCAAGTCTTCTGAATACATCAGTAAAAATCCTAATTACTGCACCATTGACACTAGTCTGAACAGAACAGAACTGATCTGCAGTCTTCTGCGAGCACCAGCAAACACCCTCACCACTACACCACAGACACCAGTCGGAACATTCCCATTCACAATAACATGGTGAAACGATTGGGTTACCCTTATTGGCACACTTTCCACCCCTTCTCCATAAAGTTATACGTAAAGTCTAGCACACACATAGTGCAATTGGTGGTCCACAGAAATATTTTCATATGTACAAATTTTGCTACGTACGAATTTTAGGCCACATGTATGAAGAAGATAATATAGATAGATATGGAAATATTCGGAACCTAAACATTTGCTTGCTATGTGGGTTTTTCGCTCAGTGCAGTTTTTGCTATGTTTTTTTTTTGCTGTGTGCATGATCGCTCGATGCGTTTTTCGCTATGAGCATGTTCGCTTGGTGCGTTTTTCGCTATGAGCATGATCGCTTGGTGCGTTTTTCGCTATGAGCATATTCGCTTGGTGCGTTTTTCGCTATGAGCATGATCGCTTGGTGCGTTTTTCGCTATGAGCATGTTCGCTTGGTGCGTTTTTCGCTATGAGCATGTTCGCTTGGTGCGTTTTTCGCTATGAGCATGATCGCTTGGTGCGTTTTTCGCTATGAGCATGTTCGCTTGGTGCGTTTTTCGCTAAGTGCATGTTCCCTATGTGTGGTTTTAGCTATGTGCATTTTTCGCGATGTGCATGTTTGCTATGTGCATGGTAGCTTGGAGTGTTTTTCATTACGTGCATGCTAGACTGTAGTAGACAGCAAGCCTTGCAGGAGTCAGTTCATAGAAATGTTTTAGTTTTCGTAAGTGTTTTACGGCACTTGCAACACAATAAGGTTATATAAGTGCCAGATTAGAGGAGTTACAAGAAAGTAACATACACAAAAAAGGAGGGGAAGATGAGGACGATAGAAGTTTGATACGAAAGAAGAAGCAAACCACACCGGAGCCCCTGCCAATCACCCACGCATAGAAAAATGTTGTTGGACACCAGGAACTTGTCCTTAAACTGGCATGACTTTCAATATGGCATGATCTACACACAAACACACACACACACACACGCACGCATGCACACATACGCGCACACATGCACACACGCAGGCACGCACACACATGCATGCACACGTACACACACAGGTAGTTATGCACCCCGCATAATTTAGCAAAATTTGATCACTTTTTGCATAATTTCTTATTATTTTCCTTTATCATTCTTTGTTAAAAACTAACAGAATCGCATAATTTCACTTTTTTTAAAGCTCAGTTTGCATAACTCTAGAATTTTTCTTGCCTAAAACGACAGAGACAGACATAGACCATGATACTTGATTAAAAACTTGCCCACTCGAGAATTGAACGGGCGTCTCCTTCTGCATACCTCCGCAAACATTCTCAATCATAAAAGCCTTCATTCTGCAGTCGCTAAAACTCAGTTAGTTTAGTTTTAGTAGAGGTTTTACGGCGCTCGCAACTGCATAAGGTCATATGAGCGCCAAAAGATTCGAGGTGTTACAAGAGAGTAACAAACCTAAAAAAGAAGAAGGAGAGATAAGGATGATAGATGTCTGCTTGGAAAGAAGAAGCAAACCATACCAGAGCACCCGCCAACCACCAACGCTAAAACTCATTTCCAGGAAACAGAAATCAAAGCCCACAGTAACATACACACATGATCTCATTGAGAAATACAGCAGCTCTCTACCTATCATCTAAGTAGAACAAAAGCACTGGGTAAGCTACAGAAAGTCAAGAGAAAGGTAAACTCGCAGCAGTCAGAAGGATCACATAAAACTCTCACAGTCAAAGGGTCAACTAGGTACAGTCCTATTACCGTCATTTGGATTGAAAATCTAGAATCTACAAGAAATCACATTTTGTCACAAATTGGAAAAAAAAATATTGTAGAGAAAAACAGAAACTCAATTCACATAGTCCACTTTCAATAACGCTACTATAAACTCCTTAAATTTTGATATCTCCGTTTAAAAATAATAGTCAATTTTAAAAAAGCAAGGAGAGCCCAGGTTCTCAGCAACTGGACTTTTCCTTCAAGCAGTGGATAAGACATTGGAGAAAACCCAGCAGCAAAAGGGAACAGCAGAACAACATAGCCAAAAAGCAAATCAAAACTGTACATCAATCACCCATTGAGCATTTCAATCCTCAAAAAAGCCATCCAAAAAAAAATTAATTTTAAAAAACAACAAAACAAATCAATTAAATGAAACAAATCTGATCATTCGTTTCAGTTACCATGAAGCACAGATGCACGAAAGATACTCCCATCCCAATGAACCACACAGGAAAACCCCCCAAAATAAACAGATAAACAAACCAAAAAAACCCACAAAAACTACAACAAATGAGACTTCAAAGTCAGAATGAAGAAGAAGGCTACAGTCTAGAATCAGTGGAAGTACGTACAGGAAGCAAATACCAAGGAACTGGCAGGGATACACTGTGTGATTGTTGTATAATATATATATATATAATACAGGGCATCAAAAAAGTCGAGAACCATCCTGAAAGACACTTATAATTTAGTCGTGCACCATCCTGAAACACACTTATTGTTGCAGATGCCCAAATTGAGCACAATTTTCATAAATACACCTCTCTACTCTGGACGGAGAGGGCCTGTGGAGAGTCCACCACAATCACCGGCTCTTACTCCACCTGACTTTTTCTTATGGGGGCATCCAAAATCGGTTGTGTACACGAAACGTCCACGCTTTCTTGACGAAGTGAGACGTGCAATCACAACTGACTTTTTGAGTGTCGCAACATCCATCCAGATACCCTAATGAATGTTAAAAACAGCTTTTTGCGGAGAGTAGGGGGTTGTATTAATGAAAATCGAGCTCAATTTGAGCTTCTGTAACAGTGTGTTTCAATGTGGTTCCCGA